CTACGACTCTTACTCGAGCCAGCCCCAGACCAACAGCAACCAGCAGTCGAACTGGTACGGGTTCAACGCGGTCAACAGTCCCTCGTCGGGCTATAACTCGGCGGCGACGAGCGGTAACAACGCTTACTCGAGTGCTGGGTCGCATGCTCACGGAGGCGGAAGCAACACTGGAGCTGGATCTTATAATCAGGGACACCGCTCTATGAACCTATCCAGCCACACCTACAGCAGCATGGAGGGAGGCGAACAGGCGGCTCTGTTCGAGTTGCTGAGAAACAACCAAAACAATTAACGGTCCTCACCGCGATGCATACCATTTTCGGTCAATCTAAAAAACGCGGGCTCGACTGCTCCAGGACGCCTTATCTTCCGTCGAGGTTTCCGTCAAGCGAGTCCGCGAGTTAAGATCGATCAGATGAATGACACAAATTTCGAGCCTTGATTGCCAGGCGAGGCCAATGTAGGAATGCCCCCTTTGTTTACTTTCGGCACGCCTCGATTTTATTTACACGTCGTCTCCTCACACTCCAGTTGAGTGAGCGAGAACGACCATATTTTCTCTCCAGCCAAGGAGAGACGCTTGTTTCGTATTGCATATTCCCTCCTATATACGTCATGGATGGACGGAATCCCTGCCTCATTGAGCCGTTCTGAGCTCCATAGGCAGGGGAGTGTAATTAGTCAGTTGATTCGGTTTTTATATGGATGGGTGCTGCGTTTGCAATTCGCATCAAGCATGGGATACTTCGTTACCTAGCGTGGGTTTGGAGGGTTAGGATGGGTCGGAGTTTTACGGATGGATTGGTGGGTGGAAGGATGCCAATACCAGTGGGAAGATATCATTCTTTCCTGGGACGATACTGGTACTGGCTTGATATTTGATATTTGGCATGGATTGGGTGCGTGGGAAGCTAGATGGCTGCCTATGGCTTGCGCCGCCCGCGATGTGTAGATGAATCAATGGATGGATGTACAAACAACCCAAATTGGGGTCTTGTGAAGTTGTAATGTGAATGCATAGGGGCAGTTGAGATCTCGCCTGAACAGGGGCGCTTCAATGGAATCAGGAGCCACCACCTTGTCGCCCTCCTTGTCTCTGTTCTACGAGAGGGTAGCTGTTCGCGTGTCGGGATTTATTCGTGTTGAGCCCCGTACAATACATCCTGAAGCTGCTTACTCTCAGAGCGAGGTCAAAGCAAGTCCAACATACCCAGACAGAATCACCGTTTGCTTTGTGCTATCGGTTCGCAGGCACATCGGAGGCGGCTGGGCCTTTAATCTTCGTTCACCACGGGTATCCTACGCCCTCTAAATGCTACAAAAAGCAAGGGTCTTATCTTGTCCTTTAACTCATCAAGTGCCCCAATACTCAACCACCGACCTCTTTCTTCGCCGCCGCCTCAAGAACACGCTCCAACGCATCCTCATCAGCCCGCACCAGTTCCGCGATGCCCACCTGGCCCTCAGCAGGCTCGCCCTCCTTCGACGCCGCCTCCAGAACCCGCCCTAGCACCTTCTCATACGCCTGCACCATCTCCGCAACATCCACCTGCCCCTGGCCCCCCTCACTCGTCCGCATGGAATGCAGCCTCGTCTGAATCTGCTGCAGCCTGTCCGCGACATCCCGTGTATCTAACTTCCCTTGCTCAAATAGATCGAACAGCCCCCACACTCTCGGGTCTCGTCGCGTCAGACACAGCTCCATCAGCCGGACCAGGCTCTCCACGGGGAACAAGGCGTCGCCAACTGCGTTTTTCTCCTGGAGGGTCTGCAGGCATTCAAAGCTGCTGTCGACATCGCCGAGGAAGACGTAGCACCGGAAGAAGGCGGCGACTTCAGCTGCGGGCGCGGCGTAGTGGGTGACGAGGCCGTCCACCGTGGACAGCGCAAGGCGAACGTCTTCGGCGGAGGGGAAGTCGTGCTTGAACGGCGCGAGGAGAAGGGCGCGAGGTATTTGGTAGTACCCGAGGAGTTCCTGCCCGGCCGTGCGCAGGGCCTGCGAGTCCTGGAAGAGGCGCACGGCGAGACGCAGCTCCCCGCGGGTGCAGAGGACGTCGATGACCAGGGCTTCGGCTTCGGGTGTGAAGTCGGGGGTTTCGCGGAGGGTGGAGGGGAGGAGGGATATGGATGTGGCGGAGAGGGGGGAGTGCTCGAGGAAGTGGCGGATGGACTTTGTAGAGCTCATGAGGTTGGTGATGCCGGCGCGGCACATGATGGCGAGCACGCGCAGGGCGTTTTCGGGGTCTGAACCTTGCAGGTAGCATTCGATGAGGGCTTCGTAGTGGCGCTTGTTGAGCTTGACGGAGCGCTGCGAGAGGGTTTGGATGGCGTCCTTGGCAAAGTCCAGGTCTCCGTGCCGTGCTGCAGTTTCGAGCACGGCGGCGACGGCGCCGTCCGAGGGGGTCAGGGACTTGGTCAGGACCATGTTGTCCCAGATGTACTTTGTTCCTTGGTAGTAGAATGCGGCGCTGCATTGGTCCAGGAGGAAGTACCACAGTGCGTCGGTGGATAGGGATCCGCCGTCGGATGTCGTGGTTAGCCGCTGCAGCATGAGGCGCATTGCCTCCTCGACGAAGCCCTTGCCCCCGAGAACAAAGATGAAGATATCGAACACCCACACCGGGGTCACCACCGCGTCCCGGATCATCTCTTCCAGATAGTCCAGCGCCATCTCGTCCTGGCCATCGCGCAGGAGCCCCAGCGCAACGCTCACTTTTCCTTCGGCGAGGAGAGGTATGCCTCGGCTCTTCATGTCATTCAAGATCTTCCTCCTTGTGAGGTAATCCGGGTGCACCGAAAGCAGCTAAATCACACGACCACTTAGCCAACCGAACTCCCGCAGCGTGACATTCACCCCTTGCCCTGAAAGAGAAGTGCGACTATGGCAGAGTCTTGACATACCACTAACGCGGCATGGTACAATGACGAGTCCGGCTGTATATTCTTCTCCCCCAGCTCCTTCAATACGTCCTGCAGCGCCGTGACCGAGCCGGCGGTGTCGGCATTGGCCATGACGAGGGCCTCGAGCACGCGCATTTCATCCTCCGGCCCGACCCTCCCGTTGCGCAGGTGCTGCGCCAGCTCGAGAATCTGCCTTCGCTGGCCCGACCGTTTCGTCAACTCGCCCAAGTGACCGAGCAGAAACGGTACTGAGTACCCGGGCCAGCGCCATGTCGGTATGGATTTGAACGTGGTGTTATCCTCTGGGATCCAATAATTTGGTCGCTGAACGCTCTTTGGGCTAGGCGTGCCTTCGCTGGGTTGAGTGCTGTATTTGCGACGGGCGGGGGAAAGTCTCGACAGACACCGAGGGGCTCGGGCGAGGAAGGCCGCATCAATTGACGGAGAGAGGCAGCGCAAAAGCCCGTCAACGGCGGGGGAGGCTGGTGGAGGCATCTGCGCCCATGTGTGCGCCGTTGCGACAAGTCCGAAATACAAGGAGAGTCGGGGTGAAGCTGTTTGCTCTGCGGTGACGTCTCTGTTCGTCTGATGCACGTCGCAAAAAAATCTCTTGGCGATGCGGCACAGCACAGCATAGCGCGCAACAGCTCAAACCAAACACCAAGTCACGTGTAATTGCCTTCATTGATGAAGAGGCCTAGACCAGCGGCGTGCCCTCTAACTATAACCATGAAATGGCCGTTCGAGATGAGCGGCGCGGAATACCCAGACTGTTGTCATTCTCCCAGGAGCGACTCTCGTCTGGCTGGTCTCGGCGCTCCCCCAAACCCATGATCCATCTTGGTATCGCTAATATCACATCTCCCCTCCTCCTCCGTTTCTCCAGTTCTCCAGTACCGCCCATCTGCGAGACGTACTCGAGACTCATAATATCGGCCTTGCTTCACCCGTATTCCCCCCATTCATCCACCACGGCCCCGGCCCCTTCCTCTCCCTTGCCCACGACCACCACGGCCCCTATCACCACCCCGTCCACCATGATCGCCCCTCTGGTGCCCGCCCCTCCCACCACGATACCCTCCTCCTCCCTGACCCTGCTGCTGATCCTTCACAATGTCGAGAATCTCGTCCGGAACGCGCAAGTATTTAATCTGCCACCCATCATTAGCCTTCCCTCCCTTCGAAACTAACTCCCACTACCAAACCCAGGACTGCAACTCACATTATTCCCCTTCACATAAACCTCCGGTAATCTCACAAACTTGTCGCCTTCCTAAACACCACAAACACCAAGCGTCAGCCAAACAATTCCCACCCCTTCTCAAACCACCACTCCCTCAAACCTACCGGACTAGTCTGCACCACCTCGCGCAACGTAAGGTTCATCCACGTATCGCACAGCACCAAATGGCCATTGAGCGTCTCGCCATTCTTCAGCTCCACCAGCATCGGGTGGCCTTGCGCCGCGTTCAAGAGGCCGAGGGGTAACTGCAAGCACGCATTCCCAATTAGCAAATCCAATCCAATTCGTTACCAAAACAAACGCAAAGCCAAAATCTGAGACTTACCATCTTGCAGAGGAGGCTTTCAGCCAATCGTCCTGTGGCCCGAACGAAAGCAGACGGCTGTTCTGTTCTGTTCCGTTTGCTTGCTGCGCGGTCGAAAGGTGCGTGTTCGTTTGCGCTGGGAAGCCGGTTGCGTTGCGTTGCGCCGCTGGCTGGAAGCTCCCCACACCACAGCAAGAGAGCAACCCACCTGCCCTGGTCGCTGTGACCCTTGCGTCAGCGCCTGCTACCACATCCGAAAATTAGCCGCGGAACGTTCCAGGCACCCCAAACTTCACCCCCACCACATCCTCACCTAACTCTCCACTTCACCTTCACCTTCACCTCAACCCGCAAAAAGAACACCCCCTCCCCATCCAAATACCTGATTGAACCAAAGTACAAAAAGAATACCCTGGACGAGTTGGGAATCGAACCCAAGACCTTTCGCAATCCAGAGAAGAATGCGAAGCGAACGCTCTACCAACTGAGCTACACGCCCCAAAGAGTGGAGAAGATCAATCAAATCCGACCAGCCAAGTTGACCGGTCGTTGTGGACGAGCTGGGAATCGAACCCAGGACCTTTCGCATACCGGAGAGGAGTATGCTAAGCGAATGCTCTACCAACTGAGCCACACGCCCGATGATTTGATTGGTTGTTGGGAGTAGGTGTGGGAATTTGGGTTGAGAGTTTGGAGGTTGTTTGGGAGGTAGGTGAATAGCGGAGTGAGAGTTGAGAGTGTTTGAACTGGTAAGTCTGGGTTGACCACTGATGACGGGTATATGATGAGTTTCTCTCACGAGGCGCCCTACCAATCGAACCTCTGAGCGCTCAGCCGAATCTTCTCTCATCCGTCCTCGAAGATTCCTCGAAGGGATCAGGCTCTAAGACTGTGAAATCAAGACTCGGTAATTGCTCTATAGACCGACGAAAAGAACAAACACGTAGACCCGGACCCTGGGCAAACCATAACCTAAGAACTACGCGAATCACTCGGAATGACATCGAGTATCGCAAACAAAAGGGGTAAAAGGGGGCAAACCCAACCAGCCCAAATTTGAAAATGCTCGCCCTCCATTTCCTACATAAAATATAGAACGTCTCAAACAGACCACGCCCTTCTTCGATCACCACTTACGCTATCCACGCAATCAACTTGGTGTACTTCTTGCAGAGGGTGAACCGACAACCGCCTCGAACACAATCTCATTTTAAGCGGCGCTTTCGCGGCTCTTGCGGTAGCTCGCCTGCGGTAGGGAACGACGCGGCTCAAGTCAGCACATGCCCGAGGGTTTGGCTCGAAACTCAAAGTCTCAATGCAAGGAGAAATCCGCAGCACGACTTGCCTCCTGTTCAACCTGAAGACCATCGATGACCGGCGCCAGCTCGCTGAGAATCTCGTAGGCCTTCTTGTGGTACTCCATTTGAGCGGCGATGAGCTCAGCGAGGTTGCGCAAAGGCTCGGGGGTGTCGAGGACCTGGTAGACGCGAGGCGCCACGCATCAGTACTCTACCCAGGCATTACACATCCCATCACATTCAGGAGCAAACTCACATTCTTCATGACACCAACCGCCTCCTCAGTCTGCGTGACGAAGTCATCCTCGGCCTTCTCAATCTCCTCTTGCGCCTCGTTGCTAAGCTCATGGTCGTCGTGGACGTCAGCACGGGGAGCTCCTCCAACGCCGGCGATCTTCCAGGTGGTACCCTTGACGCGAGCCTTGACAGCATCGAGTGTCAGGCGGGCCTTCTCGACGTTCTTGCGGGCGCGAGTGGCGAACGAGATGTTGGTGTTGAGCGTCGTGTTCCACCCGGCAAGGAAGCGGCTCTGGATCTGCGCGTCCTGGGCGAGACGGGCCTCTCCGACACGCTCCTGGGCGAGAGCGTACTTCTCAAGCGCGGTCGCCAGAGGGTCCTCGCCAGCACTGGTGTGCTGCTGGTGCAGGGTTTGGCTACCAGCCAAGCTGGCGCGGGCGAGGGCGTGCGCGAAGGTCTTGGGCTGGGGCTTTGCGGTAGGAGGCGCGGTGAGAGCGGCCTGGGCTTCGGCGGGGGAGGTGGCGGTCGAGAGGAGGTTGACCTTCTCGCTGACGGTACGGCCGAGGTCCTGGAACGTCTCCTTGATGTTGGGGGGATAATCGTAGGGCTCGTTGGCGTATTGGGAGCTGGCAGAGCCAAGCCGCGTCAGCAGTTGCGATGCGGGCGAGGCGAGGAGCCTGCTTGCAATGCGAGGGTGTAAACTTACGTGACGGCAAGCATCTTCTGATGAACGGCCTTCAGCGCATCAACGCGCTTCTCCAGGTCAATGTAGTCCGGAGGGAGCTGGGTCTATCGTCGGCGAAAATGCGATCGTCAGCGATTACTCCCCCATCACCACACAACCCATCGCAAGAGCTACAAACCTTGTCCTCGGCTTGGCCAAGCTGCTCCTTGGTGTACTGAAAGGTGCGCGAAGCAAACGGGGTGATCTGGCCGCCCAGCGAGCTGCATAGAAAGCAAGTTAGCTCCTTGACGGCGAGGTCCTGCTTGGTGCGGCGCCCCCGCGAGACAAAGCGTTCGAGTGCGTAACGTGCCTGACGCTTTTCTGGAAACCCTTGAACATATCCATCTTTGCGGGAAATGCGGGCAAACTCGGTATCGAGGCTCGGATTGATCGGTTGCAATTCTGGCGTCTTGCGCAGGAAGATGGTCTTGCGTGCTCGGTGGAAGGCTGAGATTCGTGATGGAGTTGATGCCAATCAAGCGTTGAATGGGATCAGATACAGGCGAGATGTTGTTACGCGGACGCAAGGCAGATCCACAAATCACCCCCCGCTAACCCCTGCCGCCTTGTGCTCGTCGCGACACGATTGGTTGAAAGCCCACCTGACGTCCCGTCAGCATGTGCTTTTGGAGCTCCCGCATTCTGGCACTGACGTTGGCATGGACAAGAGATTATGACGATGTAGCAACACGATAGGCAGCAGTTGAAGTTACATTTTGGTTGTACGCCTCTCGGACTAAGCTCAAGAGGCGTGTCCTATTTCTTAATAACTGCAGATCAGATTTAGGTCCGTAGCCACAGTTTGACCTAACACGTGGTCTAGCTCAAGTCCAGAAGCAAGCAAGCTGCAGGAACATGACAGATGTAGCATTCACGGCCATGTTTCAATTCGCTGCCCCCGCCTAGTCCGCCTGCTTCCCGTCTGCCCAGGACGGAACGACATTCCTACATACATCCTCATAATCGCCCATGAGCCGCTCATTCCCCAGGGCATCTGGATCCGTCCAAAACATGGACCAGGTGCTTTCAGATAGCTTCCATGCCCCCGCCGAGCGCTCAAAGTACCACTTGTTCACCGGATTATTCTTCCTGCTACGCCAGCAGACCCCACCAGGGAAGCAGTCCCGAACCATGGCGTTGAAGACAATATCCGCCACGCCACCCGCCCCTTGGCTCTTTTTCAGCACGGCAAACTTATCCAGGTACGGGATCAGGCGGCCTTGGGTGTACGCTTCCTCCTCAGACAGCCCATGTGGTCTTTCCCAGGTCAAGATAGCCCCGCCTTCGTATTCCCCTGCGATGATGATACCCGCAAGGCTGTCTTCGACACGGCGAAGGTAGTGCTCCACGTCGAGCTTCCTGCTGAAGGAGTCGTTTATCAGGTGGACAAGTCTAGGCAAGTCGATGCATGTGTCGGTGAGTCGGAGCCTGCGAGCCCCTGGTTTCGGCGGAGACCACGGAGCGTCTCGGGTGTTGGGGAAGATAGTGACGGGGAGGCCCTTCTTAGCGAGGGTCGTTGTAGGCATGCGAGAAATCGCGGGTTCGGCGCGATGGGCCGCGGACTTGATCCTGCCGATAGGCAAAGAAGACGAGTAGATTGGCCTGTCGGTGAGGAGGTTGTGAATAAGGGGGTTCTGCCACCTGCGGGTTCCAACTTGGCCGGCGACGCGTCCTGTCCCGGAGGCGACATCGTGGTCTCGTTCAAGTCGAAGGTTGGCAGCCTCGGCCGGGCTAGTTATTACCGCCGAGGCAGTGGACGGAAGAAGGGCCAAGGCAGATTTGACGAGCTCTAGATTCTTCGAATGGCTCGTAGGGTCGGTAAGGGGTCCGCTGCTAAGACCATCCTGGAGACGACCGAACTCCTCTTCCAAATTCACAAACACTCGGGCGCCATCACCCTGGCCGCTTGCCGGGATGCCGCCGTGGGGGTCGATGACGATAATCCTATCTACCAGAGCCCTCCGAACTGTGTCTAGAGGGGCATCGCTCGGTATTTCACCTGGTGCGTACTTGTCGCTGAACTGCAGGCCTGAGAAGAATGTCGCCAGGGCAAGAATCACTTCGTTCGTGTCGACCGGTGCGTTTTTCAGCGTGGTTTCGGAGCATGCCCGAGCCGGTACGACTACGAGATATCCATTTCGAAGTGGTGTGGTGAAGACCTCTTCAAACCCCACACAGACATTAGTGGGCGTTACTGAGGGACCGTTCCGCGACGTCCCTTCCGCGCTCAGCATTCCCGAATCGGCAAACTGGGCTCCCGGTGAGCCGTGTTGGCCAATTGCCCTGATGACGCGATCCGTTTGTTGAGTGGTCACCTCTTTCGAAGCGCTGCTGCCACAGTCCAGAACGATCACGCTGAGAAGACCCAGGTCTCGCAGCTGCGTTAGTGTCTTCGCAACACCGTCCACGAGGTTGTCGTCCCAGGACTGTGTGTCCCTGAGCGTGACGAGGGCGATATGCGGCGTCTCGCCGACATCCTCCACTGCTTGCTTTGCTGGCCCCTGAATAAAGCGTGGCGAATCGCTCACCGCAATGATCCTATCGTGCTTCGCGGCGGGCTGCTTCGAACTTCCTCCGTAGGTTTGGAGGTAAGCTTTGGCGTCGCGCCTTGTTGGCGATGACTCGAGAACCGAAATGAGAAAAGCCTTGTCTAGCTCTCTCTTTTGCTTCGTTTCCGCAGCAGACGGGTTCCGGGCAGGGGCGCCGTTTGTTTTGGGTGTGCGAGCGCCATTTTCCGAGGACAAGCACCGGCGGTGAGATGCCACCGACGAGTTGGACGTTGCTGCACTTTGCCTTTGCTCCCTCCGAATCGACGCCTAAACCACCAAGTCAGATTTTTTTGGGCGTTGCCGCCAGGGACCGTTGAGCTCACATGGGCTACCTCGGTCGCTTTCTTCCAGACACCAGAGCTGCCGGGCCCGCGCACAAACATCATCGGCTTGTGGAGGGTGGGGGGAGAAAAAAATACCAAAAATGATGGCACAACCCAGAGAAGCTGGCCCGTCACGGACGCAACCACGGGAGCCTCCGATGGGCTCTCTTTCTCATCCCAGGAGTGCTTTGTTCCCTCTTGCGACGATTTTGTGACTCAATGGCGGTCAGAAAACAGCAACCGACGTAGCTCCTGAAGCTCCTGTGGGGCGCCGAGCACAGAAGAGGCCTAGCATGTCGATAGCGATAAACTCCCGCTCCTCGCTGCACCCCGCAGAGGGGAATATGCGTAACAACCTGACCCGCTGTGCGATCGCGACTTCCATGCTGGAACGCAAGCGCAGACCCTTGAGTTTTACATAGGCAGAGAGGTTCTCATCGATTTTCTCACGTGTAGCCCAACTAGGTGGCTAGTCAGGAAACCCAGGGGTACTAAAGGTATGTCTTCTT